GCATATCGCCCACCACAGTTTCAGACTATGATCCTCAGAGTTGTAGTTTTAATAAGATTTTAAGGCAAAATATGTGAATGACTCTCAGCCACCACATGAAATTCTAGCCATTTTCATGCTTCCTAAATTGGATGTGGTGGCCATCTAGACTGAGGAACAGCTTCTACCCTGAGACTGTTAGACTCATGAATATCTAACCAGGATAATCATTGTGAAATAATCACTGTAATGTCACTTGATTGCTGATATGTGCTGCTGATTATCCATGCTGCTGATTTATTCATGTTGATGTATTCATTCATGCTCATCTGCTTACACTCATGTTCGTGCTGCTCTTCAGCGTATCGTTTTTGTACTACTAGAGCTTAGCGTATTTTTTAGTTTAACGTATTTCTTAGTTCATATCTTATATCTTATTACGGTTTTTCTTTACAATTTATACTTTTGTTGGATGTAACTGGGACCCTGTGTACACAATTTCATTCCACCACATGTACCACAGTTGGTGCGAATGACAAATAAAAAAACTTTGACTTTGCACTGGATCGACTCTAAAGGTTCATCAGTTGTAGATGAACTTCTTGTGGTTAATTCCTGAAAGTTTAATTAAAAGTGGTTCGGGTCATATTTGGTGAGTCGATTTGAATGAGTTGGTGACAAAAATTCAAAGATCTTGAGTGCTCAGATCAGTCTTAGTGACTACCATGTCAAACTTTAGATTAACATCTGTAAAACTGACTGAATTAGTCATCTATGTGTTTAAGATGATTGACTGCAGGTCATATTTACAGGTGCTGGTCATAAAATTAGAATATTGTGAAAAAGTTGATTTATTTCAGTAATTCCATTCAGAAAGTTAAACTTACATGATATATTCATTCATTACACACAGACTGATATTTTTCAAATGTTTATTTCTTTTAATGTTGATGATTATAACTGACAACTAATGAAAACCCTAAATTCAGTATCTCAGAAAATTAGAATATTGTGAAAAGGTTCAGTATTGAAGACACCTGGTGCCACACTCTAGTCAGCTGATAAACTCAAAACACCTGCAAAGGCCTTTAAATGGTCTCTCTGTCTAGTTATGTTGGCTACACAATCATGGGAAGACTGCTGACTTGACAATTGTCCACAAGACAACCGTTGACACCTTGCACAAGGAGGACAAGACACAAAAGGTCATTGCTAAAGAGGCTGGCTGTTCACAGAGCTCTGTGTCCAAGCACATTAATAGAGAGGTGAAGGGAAGGAAAAGATGTGGTAGAAAAAAAGTGTACAAGCAATAAGGATAACTGCACCCTGGAGAGGATTGTGAAACAAAACCCATTCCAAAATGTGGGGGAGATTCACAAAGAGTGAACTGCAGCTGGAGAGAAGAGACACAAAATTCATGTTGCTTGAGGTTCAGTGCCAACTTTCCACAGTCAGTGATGGTTTGGGGGTGCTATGTAATCTGCTGGTGTTGGTCCACTGTGTTTTCTGAGGTCCAAGGTCAACACAGCCGTCTACCAGGAAGTTTTAGAGCACTTCATGCTTCCTGCTGCTGACCAACTTTATGGAGATGCAGATTTCATTTTCCAACAGGACTTGGCACCTGCATACAGTGCCAAAGCTACCAGTACCTGGTTTAAGGACCATGGTATCCCTGTTCTTAATTGGCCAGCAAACTCATCTGACATTAACCCCATAGAAAATCTATGGTGTATGTGAAGAGGAAGATGTGATACACCAGACCCAACAATTCAGAAGAGCTGAAGGCCACTACCAGAACAACCTGGGCTCTCATAACACCTGAGCAGTGATCGACTCCATGCCACGCTGCATTACAAAGGAGCCCAAACTAAGTATGGAGTGCTGTACATGCTCATACTTTTCATGTTCACACTTTTCAGTTGGCCATCATTTCTAAACTCATACTTTTTATTGGTCTTAAGTGATATTCTAATTTTCTGATATACTGAATTTGAGGTTTTCATTAGTTGTCAGTTATAATCATCAACATTAAAAGAAATAAACATTTGAAATATATCAGCCTGTGTGTAATGAATGAATATTATATACAAGTTTCACTTTTTGAATGGAATTACTGAAATCAACTTTTTCCACAATATTCAAATTTTATGACCAGCACCTGTACATGTGCTTTTTAAGGATCACCTTATTGGAGCTAAAATAGTTTTGTGTGTCAGACTGTGACTTATTTGGTGTTTTTCACAGAATCAACCAAGAAATGGCAACAAATTGTGTTATTGTGGCAGGCTGCTGGAAAGAAAGAACCCAAAGACTAAATTTAAAACGGGTTCTTTGCCAAGCTGTGTGTGGACATGATGCTGCTGCAGCCGTGACCCGAAGAGCTTCTTTTGTGCCTGAATGATTCACAGGTCAGAGAAAAATGGGTCAATCAATCAATTATTTCCCTAAAAAATGTCCAGGAAGCCAAAATCTAACAGTGAAAACCCTTCAGAAAGTCTGGAACTAACAAATTACAGCTCCTTGGAAGTAAAATACAGCATGAATAAAGATCTGACCTAGATATCAAGTAAATCTAATTGGCAACGCAGTTGTGTGGAAAACAACACTTTCTCCACATAAGAACTAATTTTTGTCTGATTTTTAGGGAACAATGATACAAATTCAGAGGCTTTTTTTTTTTCTGGTCTGTGGTTCTGTTGTGTAAATCCTCCTACAGAACATGATTACTAACAGTCACAACTTGTCTGAGCATGACTTTTAATCCCCCTCAAGAGCAGTTCCTGAAGACAATGTGTGTGTGTGTTTTCAGATGCTGACACCCTCCATCAAGCCCGCAGGATTCAAAGTGACTGACATGTTTAGACAGGAGACAATCTTGGACAATTTTCACGTCACTGACAGTTCAAACTGTATGCAGGGTTAAAAAAAGACAAGCGGTGCACTGATGTCCCCGTCGCTGAGGGATCTGAAGTGAATTTATGAGATGTTTTTCTGGACTGGAAGTGAACAGAGAATGCAGGTGTGAGATATTCAAGTGGGGAGCAGATACACTCTGGAGAAGAACAGAGGGAGTTTTTTTTTTCTTACAATTTTCAGTCAGATCATCTGGAGTTTTTTTTTGGTTTGTTTTGTTGGTACTGAAACGTTTCACCTTCCATCCAGAAGGCTTCATCAGTCAAGGAAACACACAAGACAAAACTGATTCTTCCCCCAACAGCTTACTCCAAAGTGGAACAAACCACTTAAGTTGGTGCTAAGATGGTCTCTTTGGCATGCCCCCTCCTCCAGTGCTGGGCCTCTTCCTCGTCAAAAGTCATGTCAAACTGGTTCAAAACCAACAAACTCCATGTTCAATAATCCAAGTACACAATACAACAATTTTCAGTTAAATCAGCACCAAAAAAAAAAAAAAAACTGTCCAGATGACCTGACTGAAAATTGTTGGATTGTATACCTGGATTATTGAGCATGGACTAAAATGGACAAAATATAAAAACTAGAAAGCATAGTTTCCTGAAATTAGAGAGGTTTACACACGCACGCACGTGCGCACACAGTACATACGAAATATTTTGGTCTTGGTTGTCCTCAGGCTGTTTCTGCGAGTTGGCCATCTGGCCTAAAACATTTGATTGTTGTTCATGATTGTTTTGAATGGATGGTCCTTTCTTGCATGTGTAAAGATGGTTTTGTTGAGTTCCACAGAGGGCTGGTTTGAAACACATCAAGGAGGTGCCATTTGTGAGTCTGAGGTCTGCTAACCAGACCTCAGACTCACAAATGGCACCTCCTTGACTGAAGAAGTCTTTCAGATTAAAGATGAAACGTTTCTCTCTTTAATTAAACATGTCCAGATGACATGATTTAACCTTTTTTAATCTACCTGAATGATTGAGCTTACAACCTTGTTTTTATCAGGGCTATTCAACCAGCGGCCCAGGGTCCAAATCAGGCCCACAGGTGAGCTCAGTTCAGCCCAACAATGCACTGATTTTTAAATTAAACTAGATTTTAAACGATAAAACAAACAATGACAATAACTGCTGGATGTCTGGCCCCTGAGCTCTTGACGTGGCAACCTCATTTTCTAAAGGAACCTTTGTTCACCTAGATGCAGCCACACACCAAAATAAAGTTGGCAACGTATTTTTCAAGTTATCGTGCTCACAGCATTCAGATGGGCAGACTGTGCATCCAAAATCGGGGCCAAAATGGTGCAGCTGACTTGGGACCAGAAAGTCGTGGTTCGACTCTGTGCCATGCCCACATGTCGTGGTGTCCTTGAGCAAGACACCTAATCCCCAATTGCTCCCTGGGAGCTTGCATATCCGCCCACTGCTCCACCTGGGTGTTTCTCAGATGCGATGGGTTAAATGCAGAGAACTTCATCATTGTATGGAAACATAAAACAACGACAACACACAGCACTTACACTTATTCCCTCTTTTCACTCAGTGACAGGAAACAAGAACAAAAGACTCCAGATGTGCTGAAAGAATACAAGCTGTATTTTGAAGGTACAGACTGACAATAAACAAATAAAACAGAAAACATGTGCAAAAAGAAACACGAGTAAAAGCCAAGTATGTTTACAGTGAACGTAATCAGGGAGGTGCAGAGACGCAGCGAGCTGCAGCCCGGCGGAGGACTTCAGTGTCGAACACAGCAAAAGGTTTCACGCTTACAGATCGTCTCCAAGGCACAGGTTCCACACCTGAGTCTGGTCATTAAAGGGGAGCTTATCTGGACTTCCCCCTTAGGTGGAAAAGGCAGAGCCATTGTTTCGGGGCCGTCCCGTCTCTGATGATGAATGAGTGATGAGTATGTGAAAGGTGAAAAACAGGATGTGAAATGGACTGGATATATTGTATCACTCTTCCTGTAGAGCTGCTGGAGCTAAATGAAGTTCAGCTGTACGGGGTCAGGAAGCAAAACTACAAATGCAGAGGAAGAATCAAAAAATAGAGGAAACCTCCTGACCCGGTCCCTCTATGTCAGCACCAGTTCAAGAACCAGCATCATTGAGAACTTGTTGGCTTTTCTTTGGGAACGGCTTGTTTTCATTTCTGAGATCTTCGCCACGATTCAGAATACTGTCGCCGACTCTTTGTTCTTCCAGCTGAAATACAAAAATATTCTTTGGCTGTTTTAGTCTCGTAGGAAGTCGCCTGCAGAACGCGGGCCGTGCTCTCTAGACTGTTTCACAGTCGGGGGCAGTGCTAACTGTGGGGGCCGTTTGTCAGGTTAAATGTGCGACGCAGAGGACGGTGCTGTTCCGTTTGTTCTTTAAGCCCACTCAGGTTCTTGTTTGATTTCATGGTTCTCAGTCCAGCAGCTCCTCCACTCGCCAACATTTTTGGAACATCGTTCTCCCATAACTTGCTCCTCCGGGGATCGTCCCCACCTGACGGATGATGACTGCGTTGCTGAAAGTGTTGAAAGTGAAGGAGGCACAGAGTCCTCGTCCCGTCTTTCAGAGGGTCAGGGGAGTGTTTGCCCATCCTGCTGCACTCCCAGCATGGTGAGGACGTTCTGGAGGCGTGTGATGGTGCTCACCAGATGCTGCTTCTCCTCCTCCAGAGCAGAGACCTGCTCCTTCAGCTGGCCCTCCGACTGGGCCAGAGCCTCCACTCGACTCTCCAGGCTGCAGACTCGTGCGTGGGACACCTGAGAGGTAACAAGAAAAACAATCATCTAACGCTCGTTTGACGTACGGAACGTCGTCACGTCTTCATTTATCTGTGTCTATGGACCTGAAGCTCTTCCAGCAGGTCCAGGTTCTGCTGTCGGAGGCTCTGATTGGTCCTCTCCAGCTGGGCAGCTCTCTGCTGCTGGTTGAGTGTTGGGGGGGTGTCCAAGAGCTCATCCTGCAGGACGTGGTACTCCACCTCATAGGCCTGCAGCTGCTTGGACACGTCCATCTCACAAACCTAAAGAGCACAGAAGTAAACAAATTCAGTGAAACATCTTAAAACACGTCTGTCCCGCCTGAGAATTAAGTCTCTGTAGAACGGACATGACTTTAGGAGCATAGTAACAAGAATAAAATAATTATAATACTGGAGAGATGGGGGTTATTTGGACATCATGTGTTTAGTGCCAGCAGAGTACTGCAGGACACATTCTGACTTCAAATGATTCATTTGAACTAAATCTCATCATATTTATAATTCAAATCCTCTCCTCGCCAAAATAAATAAATAAATAAATAAAAAGTATTTATGTATATATCGATTATATATATATATATATATATATATATATATATATATATATATATATATATAATTGGTGTAATTCAATTCAAAAATACTTTATTAATCCCAAAGGGAAATTATTTGTTGTTGTAACTCATTATCCTCATTTCATTAAGAGATGTTATAGATACTGATGGCTGTAGACAGGAAGGATCTCCTGTAAAGGTCCATCCCACAGTGGATCCTAAGAAACTGGCTGCAGATGCCGTCCGATCTGTCCACCCAGACTCGGCTGACCTCTTGGTTCCCCCGGGCTGTAGGACCGCCTGAATGCTGGGCTGAACTCCTCCCAGAGCAATGGCCACTCCTCCCAGAGCAATGGCCACTCCTCCCAGCAGTCTGTCAAGATCCTCGTTGCTGTGGACAGCCAACTGTAGGTGCCGAGGGACGATCCTGTCCTTTCACTGTCATGAGCCGTGTTTCCTGCTAGTTCCAATATCTCAGTGGTTAGTCACTTGAGCACAGCTGGCAGGTAGATGGGAATGCATCCACAGAACATCCTTTGCAATGCGATAACTTTTTGCTCGTGGTTGTGTTCATTTGTCTTGTCATGTTAGCAAAATCTCTCTCAAACCACTGGAAAACTTTCAATGAAACTCCAGTTCAAGAAGACAACTCACCGACCTTCGAAAGTGCAAAAAAAGAGAATAACTTTACAGATGTTGAGTTATATTTGTTGTGGTAATATCGTAACATTTTCAAAGTTTGACCAAGACGACTATAATTAACTCTTCAACAAAAGATGATTTTAGTTTTAACCTCCAGTAAGAAAGGTGCTGGGCGATATGCATTATTTGGTCTTTTGCTTCTTTTTGAGTTTTTTTTTTTTACTGTAAACCCGAGAGGTCCGACAGTAAACAGGTCAACACCTGAGTCAGAATGAAAAACAAAGAAATGCTTTGAGCGCAGAGGCAGCTGTTAATCACAGATAATGAAAGGCTTTATTTGTATTATACTGCAGACTTGGAGTTCTACGAAAATATTAAAGCAAAGATGAATCGGTTTGTCTGACACAAACAGCTGAGCTGAACTGGGTCAAACTTGGTGGATGCGTGACTAGATCAAATCAATTTTCTTCAAAACTGGAGAGAAATTCTTAAGAGGACATCTAAACCAGGGACACTTAACTGGCGGCCTGGTGACTTCAATCCAGCCCATCAATGACTTAGTCAAAAAATAAATAAATAAATAAAAAAAAAAATTT